CCGCCAGAGTTCCTGGCTGATACACTGCAAAACACAGACCTTATGCATTTCACTATATTCAAATAATCAAGTGACAGAAAGAACTGGAAAATTTGCTCCCTTAACTGCATCCCTTAAGTTGCAAACTGAAAGTCTCAGACACTTGACTTGGCCAATTGTGAGCATAATGACAGAGAAAGTCGGGAGACCCAGCTGCTGAGAAACAGTTTTAAAAATCTGACTGAGACCAATGTCCATTTCCCCAGAAGGCCAGGCCTTCACGGAGGTCCTGGAGTGGTCCCACAAAGAAGCCCACCCTTCCGTGGGCCCATCTCACCCTCCTGCACTGCTCTCATGGAAAATGGCAGACAATGAAACGAAGCCAGATTCAAACGGTAACCAACCTCAGGCACTCCAGAGGTGATATTAAAAATGCTTAAAAAACAAAACAAACAGAAGGGCAGGAGAACCCCTGAGTCAGGATGGCCTGTGGCCTACAGTGGCTCCAGCAAGGTTCAGGAAGCTTCCTCTTAGCCAGGCAGTGACCCTCTAGCTGAGGGACCATGGAGAGGTGGGAGGGTCCTGGGAACAGGTTAAGGACCAAGGTGAGTTGCCTTGGGAACAGCTACCGTGGAACTGACTCTGACTCACGGTGACCCCATGTGTGTCAGAGTAGAACTGTGCTCCACAGGGTTTTCAGTGGCTGATTTTTTGAAAGTATTTCATCACGGCTTTCTTCCGAGGTGCCTCTGGGTAGACTCGAACCTCCAAACTTTCAGTTAGCAGCTGAGCGCATTAGCCGTTTGTGCCCCCCAGGGGCTCCCTGTGTTGGGACAGCAGCTATTTATCCACTGAGAAGAATGGGTTTCTACACGCAACAACCAGCCTGATGATCCCAACCTGGACGGCCCCACCCAGGGTGGGTGTCTCTAGTCATCTTAGAATGTCGTAAAAAACATCACCAAGCCATTTCAGAACGAGGTGCTTTCATCTGAAAACATGGGTGACACTGTCCCTTCGGGAGGAATGAACAGCTCACAGTTTGTAAGAAGGTGGTGTCACTTTCAGGAAGGACAAGAGTGAAAGAGAAGGTCCCAGTCCAGAGAAGCTCCAGGTCCAGGCTGAGAGCCCATCAGGCCCGGGGGGGTCAGGCTACCTCCATCCTGGAAGCCAACACCCGAAAAGGCCCAGATGCCAGGGGCACGGCAGAGGATAACTATCTCCCTCACGGCATCCATGAATACCCCTTCCAGCTCCCTCTTGCCCTCCTCTAGTGGGGCCACATATGGACCTTTCCTGGTGTGAGTCTCACCATGTGGCCCACAGGGCAAATGACCAATGCATCTGTCAGAGCGTAATTTTAAGGAAGAACACAGAGAGATCAATGGAAACAGTCATGAATGGTCCCCCTCCCTGTTCTAAAAACCTTCACAAATTTTATTACTGAGATCATTGTATCTATACGTCATAGAATTATGGAGCCTTAGACTTGGAAGGCCCTTGAAAACTTCAGTCCAGCCTCTTTACCTTACTGCTTAGAGACTGAGGATAGCCCAGGAGATGGAGCCACGTGACCGAGCACACACAGCCAGCTTCAGGATGAAGCTTCAGGGTGGGGTTGCTCAAGTCTCTGGACTCCGGGCCCAGTGTTCCTGCCTCCCCGCAGAGATAGGAAAAGCAAGGACATGGTGGTGCCTGATGGGCTCTGATACGGCCCAGAGCTCAGCAGACCCTCTGACAGACAGGCTACAGGAAAGCCACTTATAAAGATCCAGCTGGGAGTTTCCCCCAGGGATCCTCAGCTAACTGCAGTACCGAGACTTGGAAAGTTCACATCATTACAGGACAAGGCTGAGCAGACAAAGCTGCACTGTCTAGCTCTTCATCCTGCCAGAAGCTTCAGCGGCAGATCTTTCTTCCTGGGGCTCTTCTGGTGACTTTTGTTAAATTCTGGTTCTTAATTCATATTTTGTCAGTATTATCTTGAGCCCACTGTTGTAGCCACTGTGTCTCTATCCATCTCGCTGAAGGTCTTCCTCTTTTTCGCTGACCCTCTACTTTACCAAGCATGATGTCTTTCTCCAGGGACTGATCCCTCCTGACAACATGTCCAGAGTATGTGAGATGAAGTCTCACCATCCTCGCTTCTAAGGAGCTTTCTGGCTGTACTTCTTCCAAGACAGATTTGTTCATTCTTCTGGCAGTCCATGGTGATTCAATATTCTTCGCTAACATCATAATTCAAAGCTATCAATTCTTCGGTCTTCCTGACTCATTGTTCAGCTTTCACATGCATATGAGGCGACTGAAAATACCATGGCTTGGGTTCAGGTGCACCTTAGTACTTAAAGTGATATCTTTGCTTTTTAACACTTGTTTTGTTTTCCCTGAGTCAAGATCCCTTTGAAAAAGACTTCCTCCTTCACAGAAGCAGAAGACAAGCGTATTCGGAAGCTCTCCTCTAACTTTCCTCATGACTTCCCTTTAGGAAGATCTGCTAACCTCTGGGAACTGCAGGAAAGATTATAAGTCAGAGCTGCTCTGAGGGGATCTGGCAGAAGACACATGTGGAACCCTGCACTCAGGTTTAGGACTGGCTGCATTGAACTTGTGGACCACAGCGCTGGAAGCACGGATGAGGCCCTGCATTCGTGGCTCCCGCTGGCCCTCGGCTCTTTGGCAGAGAGGTGGGGCTGGGCTACACGCCGTAATCAAAACCCATGCTGAGTGTTTATCAAGTTGTCTCATTCTGCTCAAGGAATTGTTTTGTTGTGAGTTGCTGTGGAATCACTTCCGACTCATGGCGACCCCATGTGTGCAGCATAGAACTGCTCCATAGGGTTTTCAGGGCTGGGACCTTTTGGAAGCAGATCGCCAGCCTGACTTCCAAGGTGGCTCTGGATGGGTTTGTACGCCAATCTTTTGGTTAGTAGTCCAGCACTTAACCATTTGCACCACCAGAAGGCATCTTTTCAGCTACCCTTACCAGTCCCAGCACAGAACAGGAAGCAAGAACATTTGGATGAAGCTAAGTGGTCATGCCCCCATCCCATCTGTCAGTCTGTCATACTGTGGTGGCTTGTATGTTGTATGGACGCTATGCCATTAGTGTTTCAAATACCGGCAGGGTCACACATGGTGAACAGGTTTCAGTGGAGTTTCTAGACTAAAACAGACTAGGAAGAAAGGCCTGGCGATTTACTTGCAAAAATTAGCTAATGAAAACCTTACGGATCACAACAGAACATTATCTGACTTGCTTGCTTTGGACATGTCATCAAGAGGGATCAATTGCTGGAGAAGGGCATCATGTTTGGTGAAGGAGAGGACCAGCGAGGGCGAGGGAGGCCCTTGGTGAGATGGATTGGCATAACAGCCACCATGATAGACTTGAACATGCTGGCGATGGTGAGGATGACCCAGGACAGGGCAACGTTTTGGTCTGTCGTACACAGGGTCGCCATAACTCACAGCCAACCCAACGGCAGCTACCTATCTAGCTATCTTCCTTCCTCCC